TGCGCCCTCCACGGCTGGAGCGCGCATGTAGTGCCGCGCGGCCGCGTCGTCGCAGGTGATCGCTGCGACGGGGCAGTGTACCTCTCAGTGCGCAACCTGTGACCCGTTGCCGACTCCTGCCGCGCAGGGTGGGATCGAGACCTTCTCCTCCGTGGGCACTAACTTCGCCTTCTGGGCCTTGTCGACCAAATTCGTGGCAGATGGTCCAAGCGCCGGCGTCGACGACAGCGCCTAACCGGTCGCCCGGGAGGTCGGTGCTCGCCAGAAAGCGCGGCGAGACGTTCGATGAACTGGCACATGTATCTGACGAGGCAGGCCGCCGCGGCAACGCAGGTCGGCGCGACGGCACGTGCAGGCCCAGGTGGGCGTCGCAGGGCACCGCCACGTCAGCGGCGGACATGGAACTGGAAGCGCTGCATGGTGAATGCACGGGGCCCTGCCGCGGTGTCCGGGGTGCTAGCGCGGGCCGAGAGGACTGCGCGATGTCCTGCTGCGGCGGGATCTCCTCGGGCACGCTGTCGTCTGACGCCGAAAGGGCCGGCGCCATAGGCATCGGACCGGTCGGATCAGAGCGCCGTCGTTGCGCGTTGTCGAGAGCGGCGCGCGCGCGGCGTTCGGATCGGCTGCCGCTCGATATCCAGGTCTCGCGGCCGGCGAACCACGCGGCAAATCGGGGGCGTTCTGGTTGAGTAGATCTAGATATTGGGGATTCTCCGGCGCTGGCGGCGAAGCTGCTGCCGGCGCGGATTGCGCCGGCCACGTCGAGCTCGATCCGCCCGGCGTGCTGATGCCGAGGGCAGAGACAAATGGCATGCAGGCCCAGATCGGCAACTGCACGTCGGGTCGGCTGGCGGGGTCGGAGCCACTTCGACTCGTGCGTTGACGTCGCCTACGGAGTCGCGCCCTTGAGCTCGTCCCAGTGGCAATGCACCGCCCGCGCCTGTCCGTCGCGGCGGCGTCGGTTGCGGCGGTTCGGCCAATGCTGCTGGGGCCGCTGGCGCTGCAGGCGCGGCCCCCAACTCCTGCCACACGGGCCGGCAACGTAGCTTCGGGCCCGCAGATCCGCAAATAAATGGAATGGAATCCTGCTGCGCGCGGTCCACGAGCTCAGCCATTTCTCGACGTGGACGCCGCAGCTCGGCCTCGCGCGGGCTGGGGGAAGACGATGTGGATGGGGCCCCCGCCCAGCTCGACCAACGGCCGCGGCCCGCTGCTTGCCGCGAGCCATCGGAAGACGCACGGGGCGCTGCCGCTGTGGCTGGCCGCGGCGCTGCCGCCGCCAGAGTCGGCCGCCCGCCGTTCTAGGGGTCGGCGCCCTGAGTTCGATCACCTCCGCCAGGGCCCTCAGACATACTGGGGCCCCAGAAGTGCCTCCATTTATCCTAACTGCGCGCGCGCCTGGCGCTGGTTGCTGAGGGCTGCTGGCCCAGGCGCCCCCTGATGTCCCAGATGTGCAAATCATGGGGGCGCAGGCGGAAGCGGCGGCGCTGCTGAGGGCGGGGCGCCGAAGAAGCGAGCGCGCCCCTGCCGACAGCGACGGGGGCAGCCGCGCAGGAGGCGTTCCTCGGAGGCGCGCTCGTGGGACGCAAGACGCACTCCGCCAGGGCCCGGCGGGTTGCCTTGGCGGCCCGAACCCGCGCCACTGGCCCTCCTCTGGCCCTTGCCCTTTCCGAAGCCAGCGAAAGCTCCCGGGGGGCCATTCTCGGGCGCGTCGGCCAGGAAAGCGCGGTTGCCTTTGCCGTGGCCTTTGCCGTTGCGTTCGGTGATCCTCCGCGAGCGGCGAATGGGCCTGCGGCCGTTGAAGCTGCGCCATCGTGCTTCGGCGCGTTCGCAGGCCCGGCAGAGACGCGCCCCGCGTTGTTCCAGTGAAACGTCGCACGGCTCGGGGTCGTCACGTCGGCAGCACTCCCTTCGCCGAATGAGCAGATGGCGTCGGCGTTGGCACCTGGGTCGACGCCTGCCTCTGGGCGCGCCACCTGCGCTGAGGATGCCGCAACTGTGTCGCAGGCGGCTGATGCTGCAGGCGGGCTCGGTGCCGCCCCCCGGGCAGCCGGGCCCGTGCCACCCCCGCTCGATCTGACCTCACTGCCATAAGCGCTCTGAGCCTGATCTGGCGCGGGCGTGCCCGCGAGGACCGCGCTGCGTTGGGTCGAGTGAGCGGCCGCGGCGAGATTGTCCGGCGAGCCCTCGACCACGTGCCCAAGCCGTCGCCGCCCGCCAGTCATGCCCGACAGCTGCTGAGCGTTCGCGGGGCAGGCTACGCCGCAGCGCTGCAAGATCATGGTCAGTTGGATGTTCGATGCGCCCACCACGCGCGGTAAGAGGTAGCTGAGTCCTTCGTGGCCGATCATGACTTGACCAGCCTGCTGCACCCTGTTGCGGAGGATCTCAAACTTGGTGGGGATGTAATCGATGCGCTCCTGCGCCAGTCGGTTGAAGTTCATCAGGGCCGACGCCGCTTGGGCGCGCTCCTCCTCGCCTAACTGGCCCCGCCCTTCGGCCAGGCTGTGCATTGGAGAGGTCATGGGCGGCGCTGGGTCGCCATTGATGTGACCCCCTTGATCAGGACAGGTGGCCGCCTCCCGTCCATGAATTCGAGCGCCATGCCAGCGCGGCGAAACGAGACGCAGGCCGCTCGGCAGGACTCGTTGAGGTCGGAGTCCGTCAGTGACCTGATCGTGACCTCCCGCACCCAGCGCTGGAAAGGCACGCGAGCTTGCTGCTCGGGCCCCCCAGAGGTGTCGCACGTTGCCGCTACCACCGTCGCCAGCGCCCATGCAAGCGATGCCGCCGTTGGCAGCGACCATGCCCGCTCCGATGGCCTTCCATCCGGAGTGGAGTCCCGTCCATGTATCGAGGAGGTGCTGGAGTCCTGGAACCCACCAGAGGCGATGTTCGGGTCGGGTAGACTGCCTCGGAGCGCCGTGGGTATCTTTCCCGCGCATGTTTTTCCTCGTCAGCGTATTGGGCATGTTCTTTTGTCGATTGGTTGTGGCGCGATCGGTACTCGGAACATCCCACAACGTTGTCATGGGACCACTCCTCGTCCGCCACGTTCTCTCTGTACTGGGCACCACTAGTCGCACGATAGTCAAGAGGAGTCGGCATCGGGATCCAAGTTTGCGAGGTAGCAGGGAGCGCGTGCATGATATAGAAAATCAGGTTCCGAGAGATCGAAGACGAATGGTCTCAGGTTGGTGTTGCGGCCCCTCGGAATTCTGACGACGTAGTGGCAAAACCCTTGTATATCTTCTCGCTGTTCTCTGCCTGAATCCCCCCCCTGCTCTGGCAACGTAGTCACCAGCAGCTCGGGACGTTTCGCCAACGCCGGATATTTGAACGTTGTATCGATCAACTGTCTGACATCTTCGGCTACACCCACAAACGGATTCTATGAAGGCTCGTGTCCGTCGCCGTTCTCCCAGGGCTCCCGCAACACAGTCTCAATGCTCGGGACCTTTCGCCAATACCGTAGATGTGATCACAAGCGAATTGACTGACGGCATTAGGTCCATTGGCGAGCCCGGGAAAAGGCGCCAGGAGGGGAACCGCGGGGGCGCGGTCCTTGGAGCTGGTGTTCTCGGAAATGTACGGGTGCGGGTCCCCCGTCGCGACGGACTGGTAGAGCAACGCGAAGGCGATCCAGCCCTTGGACGGGCTGGAATGTTGAAGGTGGTGAACTCAAAGAGCTCGAAAGCGGTGCCGGTGAAGATGCTGAACTTGTTGAAGCTGCGTAAGGCGGTGAAAGTGGGATGCCGGCGCGGTCGACGCAATGCTGGAAGAGAAACCCACGTGGGCCATGGCGGCCGTGGATCACGGAGCCGAAGCTCGGCTACCAACTAGAAACTGTTCAAGGTGTTTTGTATGAGGCGCGAATAAGGCGCGAATGCGGCGGGCGCGGAAGGTCGATCATAAATGGCGGCGGGAGACCTTTCCTGCACCCAGCAAGCCATAGGAACCTCCCGGTCGAGTCCCCAGGGGGGGAAAGAAAGGGGGGGAGCATTCTCGGCTGTCCGCACCAGTGACCCTGAGCAAGAATTACCTGTGATGCGCGGCTTGCCAATCCTTTCATGCGATGCGACAATAGCGGCCTGCGCGCTTGGGTTTGGGCCATCCGGGCCCCCCCCCCCCAAAATGCAGCACACCACAAACCACTCTGGCGAAGGGGCTCTCGGCTTTCAAATCGTAACTCGGGTCTCCAACGGCCGCTCGGGACGACTCGGGAGCCCCCGAAACGCTCCCGTCGAGGCGCAGCTGCACTCTTGCTTGTGGCCGATCGAGCCCACATGAGGAGAATGGACGAGGTAAAGGAAACGTGAAGGGCACAGGGAGGACGGGGAGGAAAAGCAAAAGGAGGAGAAGGAAAACGAGGGGGAGGAGGTGGAGGAGATCACGGGTATATAGAGCATGTGGAGGCGTAGGAGGAGGAGGCGGAGGAGGACGAGGAAGAGGAGGAGGAAGACGAGGAGGAGGACGAGGAGGAAGAAGAACACACAATAAACATAAGACAACTATGGAAACATAGCAAACAAAAGAAACATACTTTTATGATAAGAAGAAGAAGAAGAAGAAGAAAACTAGTAATACAAATACTACTAATAATAATTCGGAAAATACTCATAACACTATGAATAGTAATAGTAATAAAGCTACTTGAAACAATACTACTACTAATAATAATACTACTAATACTGTTAATAATAACAATAATAAAACTAACTGGTAATACTAATGATACTAATCGAGAAAATACTAATACTACTAATAATAACAATAGTAATCGTAATAATACAAATAATGGTAATAATACTAAGACTGACAATAATAATGATAATGGCAATAACAAATATTATTAAAAACAAAGAAGAAGAAGGGAGGAGGAGGAGGAGGAGGAGGAGGAGGAGGAGGAGGATGAGGATGAGGAGGAGGAGGAGGAGGAGGAGGAGGAGGGGGAGCGAGAGGGGGAGAAAGATGGGGAGGAGGGTTCGCACGCGGGTCTCCTGGCACCCTCCTCTGGGCTGGCACAGGGCGCGGCCTTCTGCCTCTCCTCCCTGGCCTCTCGCACCAGTCCGTACAGGACCGCCTCTCCGGGGCGCCAAGGCGCACCAGGACGACAGGCGGAAGAGAATCGAGGATCCAAAGTCGAATACCGGGGAGGCGGATGCCTAGGTCACCAAACTTCGCGCATCGCCCCCCGCGATGCGCGGCGCGTGGTTATCTTCGCGTTCTCGCGCCGCCGCCCTGGACAATGGCGCATCTCCAGTCCAGGCCGCGATGCGCGCAGCGCGATTATCTTCGCGTCTGCGGGGGGGATCTCAGGATCGAGGGGGAGGATTCAATATCGATGGTTGGACAGGAGGGTTTTTTCTTCCACACCAACAGCCTTTCCCTTTCGTGCGAATTAATTTACTGTGACGCATCGCACGGCACGCGCACTCCATACGCGCCACAACTTCAGCCAAAACAGCTTTTAACAATTTTAACGCCGGAATTGGCGCAAAACTGCTTTAACAATTTTAACGCCGGCTGCGCCGCACCGGCCCCGTGACATTTGCAGCATCCCGCGCGGCGCGGAGGGGGGGGCAGGCGGAGGCGAGGGGGGAGAGGGGGAGGACGAGGCGAGGGGGCAAGGGCGCTGTGCGGATAACCCCCTGGGGCCCGAACGGCCACTTGTATAACCAAAAAAGCACAGCGCAATCCAGAGGGGAAGAAGAAGGAGAGGAGGAGAGCAGGGGGAGGGAAGACAAGGAACCAGCAAGCTCGAAGAAACATGAACTGAACATTGTGAGGCGCGGCTCCCCCTGCCCCGCAGGAGAGCACGACCGCATCCACGGGCGGCCCAAGCCACCGGACCTAGCAAAAGCTGACAAGATCCGCAGCTAAGCCAGAATGCACACCAGGTCACAGCCAAGGGCTCCACTGGCGGGCCAAACACCCTCGAGCAGCAAACACAGTCACATGCGGAAGCAAGGAGCAAAAACACGAGTATCTGTTGGACGCCCGCGGCGCACCGAAGCCACTGGACGCGTCTACCCTCGCAGAGATGGGGGGGGGCAGAGGCTTCCGAGTGGGCGAGCGCCCAGGGCGGGGCCAAGAGCCCGCTTGCAAGATGAGTTATAGAATCCCCAAACGGCCAGCAGAGGAGGAGCAAAGGACAGAGGGAGAAGAGGAGCGGGAGGAAAGTGAGTCAACAGGTAATGGCAGCCTCAGCCTAGAGCACACGCAGCTCTGGTGGCAACAACGGCCGACCTCAGAAAGAGATGCCGCTGGCCACGAGGATGGTGTCCCTGTGAGTGGCCCTATCACCACCCCGAAGGACACCTTCACGTCATCCCGGTGCGGGAGTTGGCGAGCTGGTCGTCTCGGGAGTCGGTGGGGTGGTCGGTGCGGGAGTCGGCGAGCTGGTATGTGTGGGAGTCGGCGAGGTGGTCGGTGCAGGAGTCGGTGAGCTGGCAGGCGCGGGAGTCGGTGAGCTGGTCGGCGCGGGAGTCAGCGAGCTGGTCGACGCGGGAAGCGCCTGAGTAGCAGTTGAGCAGCCGTCTGTGTTTTGTCATTCTGGCCCGCCCGACTATCGCCACATGTTCGTATCCATGGGGCAGGCTGCACCAGCGTCACCCCATGATGAATGCCAAGATGAGTCGATCAGCCAATCAGGGCCGATGGGCCAATCCAAACACGTTGCCCACCCAATAAAATAAATATGCGGCGTACGGGCCACGGAGTCCCGGAATTGAATCAGCACCCATATGTCCCAGAGTCGGAGCGTCCAGTATAACTTATAGCATATCTTTGGTGTGATGGTCGGCGCGGGAGTCAGTGAGCTGAATGGCCCTGAAGTCGGTGAGCTGATCGATGCGGGAGCCATCCAGCTGGTCGATGCGGAAGTCCGCAGCCTGGTCGGCGCGGGAATCGGCGGACCACTCGGCGCGGGAGTCGGCGAGCTGTTCTGCTCGGGAGTCGGCGATTCGGCGCGGGAGTCGGCGAGCTGGTCGGTGGGAGTCGGAGAGCTGGTCGCCGCGAGAATCGGCGAGGCGGAGGGTGCTGGGGTCGGGGCCGGGAGTCGGTGAGCTGGTCGGCGCGGGAGTCGGCGAGCTGGCCGGCACGAGTCGGTAGGCTGATCGACGAAGAGCCGCCAAGCTGGCCGGCTTGGGCGTCGGCGAGCTGGTCGGTGCGGGAGTCGGTGAGCTGGCCGGCGCGAGAGTCGGTGAGCTTGTCGGCGCGGGAGCCCTGCGAGCTGTTCGGCGCAGGAGTGGATGATCTGCTCGGTGCGGGAGCCGCCAAGCTGGTCGGTGTGGGGGTCGGTGAGCTGGTCGGCGCAGGACTCCTCGACATTGGTAGGGGATAAAAAAGTCGCGCCACGATGCAAGACACAACGAACATGCCACACATTTCGTTGCCGTGATGGCGTGATGGTGTGATGGTCGGCGCGGGAGTCGGCGAGCTGGCCGGCGCTGGATTCGGAGTCGGTGATCTGGCCGGCGCGGGAGTCGATGATCTGGTCGGTGCGGGCGCCGCTAAGCTGGTCGGTGTGGGAGTCGGAAAGCAGGTCGGCGCGGGACTCCTTGACCTGATTCGGTGCGCCAGATGTCTGGCATCTGTCACTTAGTCGGTCTGCCAGATGCCTGGTAGATGATACGGGGTCGGTGCGCCGAAAGCCTCGAGCAGGAGTCGGAGGTGGAGTCAAAATCGGAGTCGGCATCGAAGTGGGGTTCGAAGCTGGGGCCAGAGCCATCGCTGGAGTCGGGGCGCAGCTCGGGACCCAGCCGGAGTCGGGGCGTCTGATGGGCGCAGCAGGTCAAGCGGCGCTCCGTCGAACTGCTGGTGCCCGTCGTGCTCCACCGCCGCCCAATTGCAGGAGCCTGTCGTGCTGCCCAGTGTCCTGCTGCTGGCGCCCGTGCTCCTGCACGTTGGACTCGCAGGAGCCGCGAACTGTCCTGCAATGCTCCTCCGAATTGCTGAAGCCGGTCGTGATGCCAACCTCGTGCTGCTGGAGCCCGCCGCACTGCTCAGTGTCGTTCTGGCATCGGACCTGGAGCCGGAGTCTGGTGTCGAAAGATGCGGATTTGTTGCGTCGAGCCGGGTGTCGCGGGATGGTTTGCGCAAGCGGTAGAACCGGCGGTGGCAGCGGCGGTTCAAGAAGGTGCTGGCGTCGATTTGATGTGCCGGCGTCGATGCCGAAATGGGCGCAGAGCTGGACGAGGAGCTGGCGTAGGAGACGGGGCTGGCGTCGGAACCGGAGCTGGCATCGGCGGAGAAGCGGAACTGGAGTGGGAGCCGGCGTTGGCCGCCGCTGTCAGATATGTGCTGGGATCTGTGGGATCGGTGTCCCCGGCCCTGCTGGGGCCCGTCTGTTGCCGAGCGCCCCGCCTGGCGCAACGTGTGATAAGGAATCCACTCGTAAGAAGAGGCGCCAGGAACGACCCAAGTAGAGGCTGAGCGCACTGCCAGTCGACGAAAACAACGACGCCGTGAAGGATGCGGAAGAACAAGGTGGAAGGAATACAGACAAACGCAATCTACTTGACAGCACATCGCTCTGAGACCAATGTCAATATTTGACGGCGATCCCAGGAAGGACAGGAGGAGGAAGAGGAGACAGGAGAGGAGGAGGAGGAGGAGGAGGAGGAGGAGGAGGAGCAGGAGGAGGAGGAGGAGGAGGAGGAGGAGGAGGAGAGGAGGATGAGGATCGAGGAAGGGGATCAAGGAAGAGGAGGAGGAGGAGGAGGAGGAAGAGGAGGAGGAGGAGCGAGCGGAAGCCGAGGGGCGTTGGGATCCAGAGACAAAGGGAAGCGCTCAAACACCACACCTCCCCGCCCCAGCAGTTGCACGGTGGAGCCACAAGGGCCAGGACCACCTTGCAGCCGCCACGGAGGGGAGAGAGACGACTGAGCACCTCCAAGCAGCCGCCCGCGGCGGCGCAAGCAGGGAGCACGGGGCCTGCGGCAGGCCCGTGCTCACCAGCACGAAGCCCACCGTGGCGACGTGGTGCTCCCACTGGGCTCCCAGCGCCGTGGCCAGGAACACCCACCACACGTGGCCCAGCGCGAGAGCCACGAAAACAAAGCACCCGTGGCAAACGAAGTCGACGGAGAGGCCCAAGCCCAAACAGGGTCGGCGAGCCGTCGAGCACCACATGCACACTTGGGGCTGGGCCGCCCCAGGCAAACTGAATGAAACAAACCTCGCCCCACGGATCAACCAGGCGCCAGCTTGGCTGCTCTCGCCTGGGACTCAGGCCAGCCTGGGCCGTGGGGGCGCTCGATCCTGCACGTAGCAGGGAAACAAAGCTGAGCGAGTTGACTGAGCCCCCGAGGGTCAAACACCGCATCGGGGGCTCGCAAACACGTACACACATGAAATGATAAGGCAGCCCACGCGGGTCCTGCACCACAACGTATGGGCTGCCAGAAAGCTGGACGTTAGTCCAGCGAATCAGGATCCTCAGAAACATCTTCATTATCAACCACACGCCCGAGCTCCACGGCCTCATGATAAAATCAAGACCATACGCTCGGAGAATACTTGCTGTGTCCAAGAGCCTCTGCTTCTTCAGGGGGCCTTGCGTCGAGTAACTTTTCACATCCAGCTCCCAACGCTTGGCAGCACGAACAATAGCTCTTGCGGTTCCCGATGGGGATGTCGGTGACTCCAACCGAACATCAGCACGACTGGACTGCGGGTGCCGCAGAGAGGAGGAGGAGGAGGAGGAGGAGGAGGAGGAGGAGGAGGAGGAGGAGGAGGAGGAGGAGGAGGAGGAGGAGGAGGAGGAGAAGGAGGATCGAGGAGGATCGAGGAGGACGTGGCGCAGGAGGAAAACGGGGTCTGCGTAAGGCGTCACTCCGCTGGACCCCCCAGCAACACTCGGAAGTGGCGGCACTTTTGCAGTTCGCAGCCCACAGTGATGATGAGATCTAATCTGAATCTGCGTAGGACGTAACTCCGCCAGGCCCCCTATCAGCGCGCGAAAAATGCGACGGTTTCGCAGTTCGCAGCCCACCCACCCCAGGGATGGCGAGGTATATTCTGAACCCCCGTATGACGTCACCTCGATGACCTCCCCCCCCAGCAAGGTTCTTAAAAGTGGCGACAGCTACTCAATTCGCAGCCCAGCAGGGACGGCGAGGTACAATCTGAATATGTGATAAGGCGTTACTCCGCTGGACCCCCCAGCAACCGTCGAATGCGACGACAACTTCACAATTCGCACCCCCACAAAAATGGCGAGGTCTAATTCGAATCTGCGGTAAGTCGTCACTCCGCTAGACCCCAAGACAACCCTCGATTCGCAGTTCGCAGCCCCCCAAGGATGGCGAGGTCTAATCTAAGTCTGCGCAAAGCCACTCCGCTGGACACCCCAGCTGTCCTCGAAACGGGTGACCGTTTTGCAGTTCGATGCCCCCCGAGGCATGGCGAGGTCAAATCTGGATCTGCGTAAGACGTCACTCCGCTGGGCCCCCCAGCAGCCCTCGAGCGCGGCGGCGGGCTCGCAGTTCGCAGCCCCCCCCCAGGGATGGTGATGTCGAGTCTGACTCTGCGTAAGGAGTTACCCCGCCGGACCCCCAGCAGCCCTCGAACGTGGCGACAGCCTCGCAGTTCGCAGCCCCACAGGGATGGCGAGGTCGAATCTGAATCTACCTATGGCGTCACTCCGCTGGACCCCCAACACCCTTCGAAAGTGGCGACAGCCTCGCAGTACGCAGACCCCCGACGCACGGCGAGGTCGAGTGTCAATCTGCGTATGACGTCACTCCGCTGGCCCCCTCCCAACACTCCCCCGAACTTAGCGACAACTTCGCACTTCGTCCCACACCCGCCCCCCCCCGCCAGGGATGGCGAGGTGCAGTCTGAATCTGCGCCGTGCGTCAGTCCGCTGGACCCCTCCCCCTGCAGCCTTCGAAAGTGGACAGTTCCGCAATTCGCAGCCCCAAAAGGAGTGCGAGGTCTGATCTGAATCTGCGTAAGGCGACTTTCCTAGAAACTGTCGACAGTTGACCCCCCAGCAGACTTCGAAAACGGCGACCTGCTCGAAGATCGCAGCCTCCCCCCCAGGGATGGCGACAATTGATTTGGGTCAGCATCAGGCGTCACTCCACTCGAAGACCCCTTAGAAAACAACCCTCAAAAATGCGACACGATCGCAGCTCGCAACCCCCCAAGGATGGCGAATTCTCTTCCAAGTCTGCACAAGGCGTGCCCCCCCAGCAGCCTTCGAAAGTGGCGACAGCCTCGCAGTTCGCAGCCCCCCGATGCATGGCGAGGTCAAATCTGAATCTGCGTAAGGCGCCACTCCGCTGGACCCCCCGAAACCACCGAAGGCGGGACAACTTCGGGCGACATCGAATCTGAATCCGCATGCAGCGTCGCTCCGCTGGACCACCCAGTCGGCCTCGAAACTGTCGACAATGTGTCAGTTCGTTGCCCCCAGGGATGGCGAGGTCGAATTTGAGTTTGCGTCAGGCGTCGCCCCGCTGGACCCCCCAGCAACCCTCGAAACAGTTGCCCGTTGGCTGGCCCCCAGATATGAGGAGATCAAATATATCTTTGCGGAGGGCGTCACTCCGCTGGACCCGCATCCGCCCTCGAAAGCGGCGACAGTTTCGCAGTTCGCAGCCCCTCAAGGGTGGCGAGGTCTAGTCTAGGTCTGCGCAAGGGCCACCCAGCAGCCCTCGACAATGGCGACCGTTCGGCAATTCGCAGCCCCCCCCCTGGGGATGGCGAGTTTGGGTTTCAGTCTGCGTAAGCGTCACTCCGCTGGATCCCCAGGCAGCACTCGAAAGTGGTGCCAATTCCGCAGTTCGCAACCCCCCAAGGACGGCGAAGTCTAATCTCGGTGTGCGCGAGGCGCCACTCCGCTGGACCCCCCAGCAACACCCGACAGCGGCGACAGTTTCGCAGGTCGCAGCCCCCCCCCCAGGGACGGCGAAGTCTGACTTACTTCTGCGTAGCGCATCACTCCGCTGGACCTCGCAGCAGCCCTCGAACGTGGCGACAGCTTGCAATTCGCAGCCCCCCAGCGAGCCCCCAGGCAGGACGGTGGTGTGGGAAGCGGGGTAGCAGGCAGGTAGGACGGGGACAGGAGGAAGGGGGCGGGAGGGCGAGGTCGCGACCGCAGTGCGCCATTCCAAACGAGACCCCAACGTAAGAGGACCGCGGGAGAAACATGCGGTGCACATGGTGCCGATCTTAACCTCGCCTTCTTCGACCTTGAAGCCTCGCGATTCCATGCGCATCGAATGCTGTTCTGCACGCACCGAATTAAACCCTTGAAGAGCATCTAAACCATTGACGATCCCGTGCCGCCCTGGGCAAGGCCCGAAACTGCCTCCAAAACATGGCCGATTCTATTTGCAAAAACGGTCCGTTCTTGCTTCCGGCAGAATGCGTTCCACGGGCACATCCGCCCTGGGCCGCGGGCCTGGCCGTTTTGGGCGTGTTCCTCGGCTGCTCCCCAGACGTAACTATCCCAGCTGAGTGTGGAATCCGCATCGCTATCGCCATGGGGGGAGGGGAGTAGTGCATCGTCGTCGTCGCCGTCGTCGTCATCGTCGTCGACGTCTTAGACGTCGACGATGCAACGGCATCATCATGGGGAGAGGGGAGTAGCATGTCGTCGTCGTCGTCGCCGTGGTCGTCGCCATCGTCGACGTCTTGGACGTCGACGAACCTACGAAGGTGATTGTACTAGGCCCAAATATAACATCTCCCAGAAACACGGCGGCGATTAGGGGGAGCCGGCTTGCAATTACAGTGAAGCGACGCGGACAATCAGGATCAAACGAACCAAATAAGGCTGCAACCAGTCAAACGAAAACCTTGCCAAGATGATCGCGTGACTGGCGACGCCAAATAAAAATACGTCAACTCTCTGGCCGTCATCGCCATCGTCGACGTAGTCGTCGTCGTCGTCGTCGTCGTCGTCGTCGTCGTCGTCGTCGTCGTCGTCGTCGTCGTCGTCGTCGTCGTCGTCGTCGTCGTCGTCGTCGTGGTCGTAGTCGTAGTCGTCGTCGTCGTCGTCGTCGTCGTCGTCGTCGTCGTCGTCGTCGTCGTCGTCGTCGTCGTCGTCGTCGATGTTTCTCTGTACACCCCCAGCGTAAACCTTTCGCGACGGAAATCAGTGCCGCTCACGACCCTCAGCCCCCCAAAAAACACGATGCGGTGCACATCCGCTGCCTCCCTCTCATGCTCCTCCTCGTCCTCCTCGTCCTCCTCGTCCTCCTCGTCCTCCTCCTCCTCCTCCTCCTCCTCCTCCTCCTCCTCCTCCTCCTCCTCCTCCTCCTCCTCCTCCCCTCCTCCTCCTCCTCCCCCCCCCCTCCCCCCCCTCCTCCCCCCCTCCTCCCCCTCAAGGTTGAAGTCCTCCCAGGCCTTTTCAACCTTGACGATCCTATGCGAAAGCGGCATTTTGCGGTACACCCCCGATGCAAACCGTTCACGATGGAGTCTGTGCCGCTCACGATCCTCTAGTCCAACACACGGAGGTTCCCCCCTCGAACCCCTTCCGGAACCAGCTCGGGGAAGGGGAGCGGGGGGGGGGGGTCGAAAACATCCATGTTGTATATACTGTGCAACACACACACACACACACGCACACGTTCCTGTTGCTGTAGCTGGGGAGTCCAAGCTGTAGAATCATAAGATAGAGCGGAGGGAATATCAGATAATATCAGGCGGACCGCCTGGACCACCCCACCAACGCGTCTGGTGGTGCGACAGGGAGACACGATCTATAAGGAAAGGGTATGAGGGAGACGGATCTGGAGAAGGGCAGAGGAGGAGGATAATGAGGATGAGGAGGAAGACGAGGAGAAGGAGAAGGATCAGGAGAAAGGCAGAGGTGAAGGAGATGGAGGAAGAGGATGACCAGGAAATAGGCAGAGGAGGAGGACCAGGAAAAAGGCAGAGAAGGATGTGGAGGAGGAGGAGGAAGAGGAGGAGGAGGAAACGGATGCAAGGATGACTCCCGTCAGCGCGCCTCGCCCCCGCGCGGACTGGTGCAGCGCAGGATGACCAGGTCCTCTGGCTGGAGAGAGGGGGCATCCTCCCTCCTCCCCCCCCCTTCCTTCTCCTTCTCCTCCTCCTTCTCCTCAACCTCCCTCCCTCCCTTCCCCCCCCCCTCCCCCCCTCCTCCCCCTCCTTCTCCTCTTCCGCCTCCTTCCAGGACGTCAAGAGGTGCGTCATGCAGCTAGAGCTATTGCACAACAGACCTGCAGGGAGCTCCGCTCCCACTGTGGAACGGGCCCAAGGTGTAGCAGGAGAGAGAGAGAGAGAGAGAGAGAGAAGCCCCATCCTCCTCACACCTGCCTCCCTGGCCTTGCTGAAGACGTAGTAGACAACCTCGGGAAGCTACACGCCTGAACCTCTGATCTGGCGGCGCGCGAGCGGGGAGGAAAACCTCGAAAGTGGCAAGCGGCCGGCCTGATCAAGAATCAATCGGAGCCACCCGACTCCGCCATCAAACGAGATTGTTCCTGCGGCTCATGGGCAGGGACAGTGTGGGCGGCCTCTACATCCGCATCCCTCTGCCCAAGACATCAATCGCCCTCTCTGGGTGCCTCCGCGGAATGGAACTTCCCAGGACGGTCCGAGGGCCAGCCAGAGGGACCCGGGGCCAGGGAGGCAACGAACAAAGCGAGGGGAAACGCGGGGCCAATCTCAAAGCGGTTCCTAGAACTAGGCCTCGAAGGAGCTTTGACCTCTCACTACTCCTCCTGGGCCTGGAACAAGGCTCAAAAAGGGCGAGGGCTTTATGGGAGGCGAACTCCCCACAGTGCTTGCAAAAGACAACAGGCGAGTCAGACGAGATGATTCGGGCAACAAACAAACTATGTCCAGCCCCCCCACCTGTCGCAAGAGACGCGACAGGGTAGGGAGGGGGCGGCGCAGGGGAAAGAGCTCTTATCCGAGCAGGCCCTCATGCGTTTGGCACATCGGAATTTGCTGCCATCCCACACTGGGGAGCGCGCTGGACCATTATCCTTCGCCTTCAGCCGGCGGGGAGGGCGAGAGATGGGGGCCAAAAAACTCCAGATGGGTGGGCCACTCATGGAGAATGGCACAAACCCCTGGAACTAGATTCTGGTATTCGTCAAAACCCTGGGCATCCAATTATCACTCGTTCTTAGATGAACAATGGGCCCGAGCTCCTAAACCAGCAAAGTAATCGGCCAGTTTGTTACCACGGATGTGGGTCTCATCCTGTACGCTGTACGTCTGGGGGCCTCATGCAATTCTCTGTGCGCTTTGACCTTGCAAAGCTCAGGTACGTCTTTGTCCCCTAATGCCAGCTTGGCTGATCTGAAATACCGCGAGAAACGATTACTGTCAGAAAGAAACTTCTCGGGCCACGTTTGCATGAGCACGAGGGCGCTGCAATCGTACATGATCAGGATGGTTTCTGGAGCCTCAGACCTCAGGATAGCCAAAGCCAGAGCAGCATGTTCTGCATCACTGGGAGTCTGAATGAAGAGGTCAGGGAGAGGGGGGGGAAGATGGCATCGACGAGCTGCCCATTCTCGTCAACTTGCACAGCTGCTACCCCCGCCCCGGCCAAACACGAATATTCAGGGCCCTTGCAACTCCCATCCGTAGAAATATTTGCTACAGCTTCAAAGCAAACCGGGTCGGTTTGTAGACCGTTGGCCCCCGCGCAACGCAAGTCCCAATCATTCGCGGCCGACGGGGAGTCGGGCTTCGGCTGGAACAGACACGCAAACAAAGGATGTGATGGGCCAGCCCTGATGGCATCATCGATAAGCTCCGAGCAAAAGACCTGGCTTCTTTTACAAGTGCCAAATGGGCATTGCCATCTCCTGTGAAGCACGGCGTCGACTTCACCACGTGTTGGGCACTTTGCGGGTCTGGAATCCCCGTTTCTCCAAATTCGAAGCCGTTGGCGCGCTATCAAAAAGAACTTGCATATTAAAACATGTGATTGAGCTCCGACGGGGGGCGATTTGCCGACGAAGACTTTCCTCGTGGCACGAACCCAAAGACCCGAGGCTCGGATGTCGTTTGCAAGTGGGTGGCTGCACCCTTGCAGCTTCTTGTTAATCGTCGGTTCAAACTTCTGTTGAAATACACCCTGATTTTTTTGTAAAAAACTCGAATTACTGCAGGAGGTTCCTCTGTAAGAACGATATTTCTGCCCGCGTGCGTCTGCCAGGCCGCCGGTTCCGATGCTGTCCAGCCAACGTGTCCTAAACATAGAAGAGCATCAGAAAGTGGGCCTCTCGCCCTCTCTGCCCATGGCTTGCCATTCGTCGCGAGTGGTCACTCACGGGCTGAACGGAACGCTTGCGAGAGGGCGCTGGGAGGCATTGGATCCGCGTGGGCAAGGCCTGCTCCCGCAGGCTGCGTAGACCGCCACCAGTCCATAGCGCGTCTCTCTATCGCGCCAGCTGCCGGAAACGCGGGGTCTTCTTGGTCCCGAGGCGACAGGGCCCAAGAGAGCTCCAGCGGGGCCCCAGACTGCTTAACCCCAACGCAACTGGCAGCTTGTTTCCTCGGGGCCAGGATCTGCGCGGGGGGGGGCCTTGAACCTGGGAGCCGCATGCAATGACAGACTGGACAGAAGCTTTAAACAATCTAGACTAAGCCTCCTGGTTGCTTCAAACTTGCGCAATATGTCGGTTCTGTCTTAAATGTTCTCAAACGCTCTGCTCGCTCGCTCAATGCAAGCACTTTAAAACGCGGCTTTCCAGCCACAAAATCAATCCCAAGGTTTGGTGGGCCATATTCAGGAGCGCCTGCAAGGGTCCCTAGTTCCCGCTGAGCTGCATGTCTGAACGCGAGGTCACTGCTGGTTACCGTCATTTTCTCGGCTGGAATCGAACAGCCCGGGCGGGCCCGCAGCGCTGGGGAGAAAGACGCGGTCATCACCTTCGTGATGCTGATGCACATGGGCTCCGACTCAGACCAAGCGCGTAGCTGTAGGTCGTCGATGTGCACGCTGGGGCCCGAGCTCGCTAGTTCGACCTGCCACGACGACGCCGCAGGCATACGATATGACGTAACTTCACATGTAGCTGCGGTTGACCCTGCTACGACTCCACGATATGGGTTAATTGGGTTAATAGTCGGGCCCAAGGTTCCATCTATGCATGGCGTTTTTGGCCATCGATACGCGTTAAGCACGTAGAAGATGGCATGCAGAGGGAAGCCTGTTAGCGCGGCCGTGTCTATCATCTTGGAGCGTGGTCCTTTAAAGAATTGCACTAGATCAAAACAGAACACATTAGTAGTGAATAGATTCACCTGAACACCATTCAGCACGCGCAGCTTCTCCAAACAATGTCTCGTGGCCCCCGCCCGCGGGTCATGGAGCACCGCAGTCCCGCGCCGTGAGTTCGCTCCCAATCTCGACAAGCTTGGCGGTGAAACTTCGCGCGCAGTCTGGGCGTCGCCGCGCGGAAACCGACGGGGCGGCGGCCCGAAGCAGGCTTCTGTTTGGAGAGAATAGTTCCACGTTGAACTCGTTGGGGTGCCGAGCCCAAGATACCCGCGCCATGGAACACGTGAGATAATACTCCCAAGGCCTCGAAACATAGCGTTGGGAAGTATATTGGGCGCAGGCCACCTGGGGTGCAGGTCTGGCTCTTGATGAGCCTTTCGGAAACATTGACGAGGGCTTCGGGATCTGGTGTGTGTGGGGGGGGGGGGGGCTACCAATATAAGAGCGAAGCCTGTCCGATCCATCGGGGGCGCGCGAACATCTCGGGCGGCCCACGCCGCCGCTCGCCCCTGCTCCTGCTTCTCCAAGCGCTCAGGTAGTGCACTCGAGATACTGAGCCCTCCTGCAATGTCCTCCTGTCTGCATCCTGACTCTCTAAGGTACGACGAGGCCCTTCTAGCTGATGCATTCCCTGCCTCATCGCGCCAGTCCTGCCACCCCTGGCGCTGGCGGCGTTTGTCTTGGAGCTGCCCAAGGCGAGTGCGTTCGGCGAGGACAGGGGGCGCTTGCTCAAGCACTTGAACTCTGAGTCCAGGGGCTGCGACCAGGGTAGCTTTTGCAAGGCTGGATAAAAACGAATGCAGAAATCAGATTGGTCCGCCCAATGCTTTCTGAACGGGCCCCCCTTCTTCGGCAGGTCCAGGAACTGGGATATAAGCTTGGCCCCGTAGGGTCCCAGGTTCTCCTGTTTCCCCAGGGTCGCGCGCAGTTCGGCAGCCCTGCTGCTTGCCCGCATCAGGGCCCGTCCTGGAAAACACGCCGATGGGATTTGGTGGCCAGCAGTGCGCGCGGCGGCACTTCTTCTGACTCTGGCGGCTGCCTGCCAGGTCCACTTGTAGGCTGCCGGTGGGGAACGCCTACAAACTCAGACCAGGCAAGAAACCCATTCATCATACGCTGTACATAATACACATTATCGCTGTTCATGTTGCGGGTGTCAACGATGCGTTTGGGTCCATCTCTAGTACATGATAGGATAGAGGCGGGGGGGGGAATGACCAATAGGCGGCTGACCATATACATGCGGATAGGGTTTCACAACCTTTACCATGGTATATGTAAGTGCTCCGGTGATTTGTGCCGCTCCTGGTTTACAACAATCAACGGCGACACGGCATCCATGCACCTGTTGTAAGTGAGGTAATACATGGTGCTTTTCTTGTCACCATTGATGGGCGCGGGTGCACCTGGGGTCCTCAAGATACCTCCAAACTTCTGCAGGGGCGAAAACTGGTCGACCACATTCCCAGGCACGTTGAAGTCCCCCCCCCCCCCCCCACGATAAACGGGACCCCGCTCCTAAATGTTTGATAACAGATCCTATTTAGGATGGTCTTGCTCAGTTCGTGCATCCCGACTTGGTCCTCGGGGTAAATCGAGGACAGCTGGGTGGCCCCCGAGTAAAATGTCCTCAGACAGCATCCCGCAAGACGCCCAGGATGCAAATCCTCAAGGTGGGCCCAGGAATCATCATGCTTTTTGACATGAGCCGTGGCGCCTCCGGCCAAATTGGCGTTATCACTCCTCGCAGCGGGAGTCTTCCAACCTTTTCTGGAATTGGAAGCCTTCGCAGACGCCATCGGCGCCCCCTCCAACGTAGTCTCCTGGAGGAAGATTACATCTGCATTGGATTCCTGGATTGCTTTTTTGCAGGTGGCTCAACGCGAGCCATTGAAAGTCAGGGTCGTTCGGCCTCTTGCCTCAGGGACCTCCTGTTAGTCGGGGCCCCACATCCTGTTAGGAGCGCTGTGGGGCAGGCGAAAGGTCCATCTCCCCTCTCGGGGTCTCGCTCGAGGTCTCAGCTGCAGCCCCCAGAGCGGCGGAGGTGGCAGCGGCTTGACCAGACCTGCGGGGTGAGCGGGAAGAGCGTCGGGACCTTCTCTGCTGAATTTTGGTCCTGGAGCTCCTGCAAATGTCGGTAATTTCTGACCGCTGGATACCGCTGCTTTCCAAGGTCTCAGAGAACACCTGCTCCAAATATCCTTCAATGTTGGTGTCCTCCTCATCCTCCACAGACACTGGAACACCCCCAGCTCCTCCTCCTTCTCCTCCCTCGGGCGCACGAGCCCCAGCCTGTGGAGGCCGCTGGCGCCGTAGCCATGTCTGTGGCGGCCGCGTAGATGTCGTGGGAGGTGCCCTGGAGGTTCCGGACGGCCTCCTGGCACTTGTTGGCCAGCTGCATTTTGGCCTGGTTGTCGATCGAGCCCAGAACCTGAGTCCACGCCTGCAGGTTGATGCCAATATGTTGAGGAGGACGAAGGGGTCCCACTCCAGCAATAGTTTGAGTTTTTGCCTGAGCTTCTCGAATCCGTGTGATGGCTTCTGCTTATTGATCACCCCTTTGTTGAATGTCAGCTCCTTCTTTTTCCAATGTTTCCAACTCCGTGATGATGGCATCGTGGCGTTGCTCGAGCTATTGGATCCGTAGCTCACCTTTTCTGATGTCGCCCTCCGCCTTCGGAAGGAGGGTTGACGGGGCAACTCGACTGTCACGGATGTCACGAGATGCATTGAGCAGCTCCTCCAGCATCTCTTTGGAATTGGGCGGGCGGACCTCTTTGAATTTTCCATCAGTACCTTGAACGAGCTCATTGAGTGGAGTCCCGCTCCAAGCCCTCGTTCTCGAACAGTCCTGTCCTTGCCCTTACCCTTGGGGTCTCGGCCGCTGAGTTTTACCCAATTCTGGTTGAGGGCAGGATCAGGGTCAACTTATCGGACCCGGGGTAGCCATTCGTGGCAATTGTAGCACCATTTGTCGTGGCTCGGACGGATCCTTGGCGCACCCACAGGACGTACATTTGACAAAGACAGCGCCATAACGAAAAACCCAGCCAGTTTACCGCCCTTGGCCATGGCAGCCCGATGCGATGCTGAGGAAGGGGGGAAAGCCTGTACTTAACTTGCTGCGAAGAAGGATGCCCCAGCAGGAACTCATTGAAAGCTGGTCGAGGCAGCCAGGCCTGGGAAAGGGCTGCCCTTCCACCTCGGCCTCGAGCCTCCGGAGTTGGGACGGGAGGTAAGCTCCGTCTTGAGCCAAAATGGCTACGGCTCTTCCTCCTCCTCCTCCTCCACCTCTACATCCACCACTTCCACACCTCATCCAACTCCTCGAGGCCAGGCAAAAAGGGGGAGGAAGAAGAGGGAAAGGGACGGTGGCGGGGGAACCGGGGGGCGGCCGGTAGACGCCGGTCAGGGTGTGGCGCATCCGTACTAAGTGGTGATCATCGTGGACGTGGTCGTCGTGGTGGCCGTGATGGTGGTTGCCAGCGTCGTGACAGCCGTGGTGGAAGAGTCGTGGTGGTGGTCAAAGAGGTGGCCGTGCCTGCGGGCCTTGGTGGTCGCGCCTTCATGGGACATCCTTCTTCTTGCAGAACGCTTCGCTCTTGACTCTGCGCTGCTTCTCCGAACGTCCCACCAAAACCTGGTGCCAGCTCGCCTGCTGCGGGAGGTCATCGATTGTGCATATATCGCACTCTTTCTCTCTGTCTCTCTTTCTATTTCTTTCCTTCTTGGAGCGCAGCATCATCAAACAACTCGACCAAACCGTGTGCTTGTCTTTTGATTGCATGAAAGGAACGGGTCCCGCGGGAAACGGTTCCTGGACCCAGGGGCGCTCCCCAGGACCAGTTTCGCATCCTGACTCGTTCTTTGACGGCCCCAGGGCCTGGACATGGCCCCGAGAGGCCGAAAACGGCGAAAACGATTCTGTCGCGCAGCGCAAGAAAGCTGTCTCCACGCGGGTCCGCGGCCGACGCGCGAGGACGGGGCACAGAGGGACAGACCCCTCGGGCGCGGGCGGGCAAAGCGACGCCGTTCAAAAGGCGATGGAGTCCGCCTCCTCGTCCACGAGGACGAGGAAACCGGCCCCGCAAATGATAACTTATGCTCAGGAGGAGGATGGGCAGCAGGAGGAGGAGGAGGAGGAGCAGGAGGGAGGAGGAGGAGGTGGCATGTTGAAGTTGATGTTGATGATGCGGATGATGATGCTGATGATGATGCTGCTGGTGGTGATGCTGCTGCTGGTCAAGGAGTACCATGAATATAAATATGATGATGATGCTGAGTATGGTTATGCGTACGATACGAATGATGCTGATGATGACAGTGGTGATGGTGATGGTGATGGCGATGGTCATGCTGATGACGATGCTGAATATGATGTTGATGATGCTGCTGATGATGATGATGCTGACGGTGGCGACGATACTAAATCCGCATGGTAGTACGAATGATGCTATTGATACAGATATTGCGAATACTAGTATCAGCACGAATCACAAGACTACTACTAATAAAACATAATACTAGTACGAATACATCGAATACGAGTACAAATATTACGAACACTAATAATCATCATCTCAACACTACCATTACTACTAGCATTAATGGTATCATTGATACTACTACTGCTAAGAGTATAAGTAATGATCATAGTAACAAAAACAATTATTCACACTAGAGTGATACTACTCATTACAACCATAGCATCAGTAACAAGTCTACTAACTATACTAAGAACGAGGCTAAGTGTAAGAATGTGGATCATACTACGAATTATCAGTACCAAAAATAAGGCGATGCTGATGCTGACGATGATAATGATCATGGTGATAGTGATGATGATGAAAACGAGGACGACGAGGAGGATGAGGGGGAGGAGGAGGAGGAGGAGGAGGAGGAGGAGGAGGAGGAGGAGGAGGAGGACGAGGAGGAGGAGGATAGGAAAGGGGGAGTGGGGGAGGCAGGGAGGCAGCCACGGAGGCAGGGAGGGAGGGAGGGATCAGCGAGGGAGGGGAGGGAGGAGCGATGTCCTTCGAGCAGCAGGTGGCCAGCCGGCCAGCTGGGCCAGCCGCCGCCGTGGCCAGTGAGCCAACACGCGGGCGGCAGGTCGCGCGTCGCCCCTGAACGGATGACACCTGCATTCCCACGGACCCCTTGCGCCGCACAGCGGCGGGTGCAATGGAAGTCCTCTGGCGACGGAGGAGGAGTAAGAGGAGGAGGAGGAGGAGGAGGAGGAGGAGGAGGAGGAGGAGGAGGAGGAGGAGGAGGAG